CGGGGAGAGGGGCAGAGGCAGAGAGGGGGAGAGAATCCTAAACAGGTTCCATGCTCAGCACAGAGCCCCATGCGGGACTTGATCCCATGACCCTGGGATCATGACCTGAGCTGAAATCAAAAGTCGGATGCTCAACCCACTGAGCCACCCAGGCGCCCCTATCCTTTAGTTTCTAATTGCAGAGAAACAGTCTCTTTCAGTGTGGGTTAGCAAGGTAGGAAAACATTTCCTTCAAGAGTAAGCCTAGGGGGCTGTCATGAAGAGAGAGCAATTTATGTACTTACCACAAGGGGTCCTAAATGTTGGATTTAACAAGGGAACCCTCTGTGTTTTGGAGGGCCTCGGTTTCCAGAGGAGGAATTATAATGGAAATGTTTGGGGTCGATGCTTAGGGTCAAAAACAAAGGACTAAAATAGGGACCACGATCATCTTGTGGTGTGGGTTATACACAATAATAATAGCATTAGAACTGGCAGGGCCTTCGGATAACCTTTGTGCAATATTCTCATCTTATGTATGAGGAAACAGAGGTTCCAGAAGAGAAGAAAAACTGAGGCCTGAGGGGCAGAGTGGCCCAGGGAATGAGCACAGGCTGGCTTGTCCACCACATGGCCAGGTGCCATCCGAGCATCAAGAGTTGGATGCTTAACCGCCTGAGACACCCAGGCGCCCCTCCATGACGTTTTAATTAGAGCTTAATTTCTCACAGTCTGTGGCTAATTCCATAGAAGCCTGTGGTTTCCACCCTTTTGTGGCAACATACATGTTTTATAAAAGCCATCTGTTGGAGGCTCCGAGTCAACATTGTGCCTCAGCTTTGGAGTCAGAGAGGGCTGGGTTTGAGCCTCAGTTTCCTCATCTGTGAAACGGGCATAAGAATCCCACCTCACAGAATGGCGGCAAGGATGAAACGAGATGAGCATGTAAAGGGCACCTGGCTAACATTCTTTGAGTCTCACTAGTCCCGTCATCTTCCTCGCAGCCTTGCTCACTGATTGAACATCTATTCAGGCATCTTCCACATCCCAGGCACTGCTCGAGGTGCTGAGGACGCAGAGATGAACAAGACAGGCTGCATCTCTCACGGAACTGACAGAGTAGACGGGGAAGGTGGGTGATACACAAGTCGATAAGCTCATTTCATTATGTGAGAATGTTCTGAAGAAAATAAAACTGAGGGAGGCGATAACTAGTGACCAGACGGGTGGTGGGGGATGGAACTTGAGAAAAGGTAGTCAAGGAAGGCTTCTTTGAGGTGGTGACCCTTGGGCTGAGGCCTGAATGAGGAGGACAAAGCAGCCATGTGGGCAATGACCTGGGGAAGACTGGGGAAGGCCGCAGAGAAGCCAGAAAGAGGCCCTACGAGGAGAAGGAGTGGGGTGAGTTCTTTTGAGGTGGAGCCCCCTGCTCTCTACGTGATTCCTTCCACCATCCTGGCCTCTCCTGGAGTCAGGCCTCCGGGGCACGTGCATGTACACACACACACACACACACACACACACCACGAGGAATGCCAGGGAGGCTGGAAGGAGTTTCAGTTCTACACTCTGACTAGACCAGAGCTCATGGGAAGGGAGCTTGTGGGAAGAGAGAAACCAACAGCTGACCCGTGAGCCTGTCAGCAGAATGGAGTTTCTGAAGTGAAGCAACTTTCACGGAGTTCTTTGAGGGATGACGTCAAAAGGGCAGATCTGCTCCCTGTTGATGGTTAGCGGAAAAGAGCCGGCTTGAGGCAGGGGAATGGTCTCTGCATGGTCTTGGGCGGGG